CCCCCCCCCCCCCCCCCCCTCAACCCAGTTCCACTGCCTATGATTAACTTGAAGCTTGAGGCTCTAGGTTTAGAAACTTTAAGGTAGCTCCACTGTCAGTCCTCACATGATTTTTATAGTTGGCTTGTAACTCCTGAATTCTTAATTGAACTGAATTTTGAAGTTTTTGAATTCGCTTTTTAGACAAGCATGAAGATAATCTCCGACTGACTTATTATAGAAACCCTAATTTCATTTAAAGCTAGGTATAGTCACAAATCAAAAATAGTTTTCTCACCTGCTTGGACGATGCACATGACATCACAAACGTCTTCCATGTAAACTTCACATTCAAATAATTCACAACTTTCAAGTGATGTAAATTCCTTATTTTCTGATGACTAGAATTTTATAAAAATTGAAATGATTGCGTGGACAAAAAATATGATGCAGCCACACACAATAGGGGGGAGGGGAGGCTAAAATAGCTGAATGCAAGTCAAACAGCTTAATTATAGCTTACCAGACATGAATTTCAGGCCAGAAAATTTTTTTATCCAGTTGAAATTGGGTACCCACTCTTCAAACAACAGGACAGAAACTGAACATTTCTGACCAAGTTAAACTTCCCTGACAATCATATATGACAATTACCTTATTCATAACACGTAGTAACTCTCTCAACACCAATCTCAACCTTCGTGATGGTTCACTTCGTTCAAAATCCAACGCCAAACCTTCTCTGCCTGCCTCGACCAGAGCGCTGTGGCTACTTGAACTGCTGTCCTCCAGTTTGCGTTGCATTTGTTTCTCTTTCAAGCAATCTTGCCTGAATAGAGGAAATTAAGTCACAAATTACGAGCCTTTCCTGCATTATTTTATTTTATTTATCACGACTAATATCTTCCATGTCACTCATTCACCACTGCTCTCATAATCTTCTTTCTGTGCTCCTAGCTAATCCATTCACTTTCCACTTTTCTTTTCTATTCTATTAATGGTCTTCTATAAGATCTCATCTAGTAGTGTGAACCATGCATGGGACCTAGTCTGTCTTCAGACCTGTATGACAAAAAAACACTATCAGATATTTCTGCGCAAAAATATTTCTGGTCCAAAATAAAACTTTTCAGTCTGGACCCAGAGGTCTGGACCGCTGCCATGCCATGAAAATGCGCCATGTTCCTAGCCAGTGTGCTTGAGTCCTTCCTGAATGTTTGCCATTTTGAATATTTTCAGTGGGAAAGGCCTCTCATAGGGAAGGCCTGGCGACAGCATTGCAACAGTTACACCAAAAAATCATAGGCAAAACGAAGACACAGAATACTATACAGAAGTCCATCTCCATTGTTTTTTGCGTAAGCGCTATTCGTCATGATTCATCACTCGGTAAGTACCGTAAACAGAAGCACTCCCCCCGGGAAATATTCAAAATGGCACACATCCAGGGGGGCGACTGCTTCTGTTTATGGTACTTGCTGAGTGACGAATAGCGCTTACACAAAAAACAATGGAGATGGATTTCTGTACAGTATTCTGTGATCGAAGAAGTCAACCTTCTGTATCAAGGTTACTATTCTCTGCCCATGGGGTGCACAATTTCCACACTTTCCAGTCAAATCATATTTATAAGGAAAATAATCAAGTCGGAAATTATTGTGAACAAATGATTATAAACAAAAACAATGGGCTATTACATTTAATATCCGTACCCCCCCCTGTCGAGGACCTCATTTTCCAAGGGGGAAATTAGTCATTTTTCCAGAGGGGTAATTGGGAAAAATGGAAGAAAAATGCTCTTTCCAGAGGGGTTAAAAAGCAAAAAAGCATTTCCAGAGGGGGTTCAAGTCTCTTCCAGAGGGGTCAATTACACAGATTTTCTTGCATTCCAGAGGGGTAAAAGTCCCCAAAAGCAGAGGTCCTCGACAGGGGGGGGGGGGTTAATGTAATAGCCCAATGGTGAATACTGAATGGTGTGCTTTTGTTATATATTATTCAAGTTATTATACCTTAAACATCCAAAATCCACAGACAGCAATCCGACGATGGAATTGACCACCTCCAGACCACATAAAATCTTCTGGATTTCTTTACGAGCCTCTTGCCAATGTTGACTTTCATCTAAACTGGGACATTGTGACATTCTTACAAGCGACGGTAGAAGTGCCCGTAAATCGTGATCGCTTAGCTCTTGAAGCCTGGAAATGCAGGCATTACGAGCGAAATGAAAGCAGCGTTCACTAGGGTAAAATCTAGCCATGCTTGTTTAAAAGAAGTAGGTTTTCAAGGGGTTTTTTCTGCACGTTTTTTTGCAAAAATTGTTTTCCCGTCCGCCATATTGCACGTGTCGTTCCCAGGCCCTTGCCTGATTACCGTCGTTGGTATCTAACAATGAACAACAATGGACAGATTAATTAAAAATTGTCTGCAAACATGTGATTATCACATGACATTTGGCAGGGCACATTTCTTAACCAATTACTGATATCAAAAATAAATTTATTGAAGTCAAACAAATTTATATAAAAAGATCGTCATATTTAATTTATTTTACAAAATTATTTTGATAATTTCTTGTCACAATACACCATTTCGATAATTACGTCACACAGACTTTTTGGTCTTGGAGCCTCGTTCTCGTCAGTAAATTACGCAAGGTGATTGGCTCAATCATCGAAATTGGACTGAGTATCTAATTCTACAAAATTTCACATGTTGGTGGTAATGTGGCGAACGTGTAATGATTTTCTTTTAAATAAGAAAGATTTCCCCAAAATCAAAAATGGCACCTTTGCGCCCATTGACCCCTTTAGGAAAGGGCGTGGGAGGGGCGATTCCCCCCTTGCACCCCCTCTCCGGCGTCCATGTTTGTTGCTCTTGACGTTGAACACCATTTGCCCAGAATACCAATTCATGATTCAGAAAAGTAATTCATCAATTCATTAACGTTCTCACAACCGATTTATAAGTCTCGTTTTCAAGACGCAAAGAATGATTGTTTGAAATGTACTCCTTGCCACCCAAAGTTAGTCTCTCGCGATATTTCTCATTGTAAGCCACTTGCTTGGCCAACGATAGAAATTCCTGTAAATTTTGAAAAACAATCCGTGTGTTACATGTAAATGACCTTAAATTATTCCAATTTTGTCAGCTACACTGCAAAAAAAATTTGGACTCAAAATTCAAAAACTGTTTGAGTGACATAATGAACTCATAGCGACTCAAAATATTACCAAAATGAATTATGAGCAGGTTTACTTGGTTTTTTTTTTGCACAGCCGTTTTTAACTAATTGTAAAATGGAATCAATAAAAATCACAGTTTCAGAAAGATGCGTGCTATGACTGCTATCTGAGACTATTATTCTCTCAAAGGGTTTAGCCTTGCCATCTAACTAAACAACGAATACCTCTGGAGTTTGAAACAGGAGTCCATTTTCATCATGCTTTATCAAGCATTCATTACCAGGAATTTTTCGCGCGAGCACCACAGTGTCAAGATCCATTGCCTGTGAACGAAAATTATCCAAAAATTAAATGTTACGCCCAAATTATTTACTTGCATTCAAATTGCACACGTAAAAACACACACGTTGTAACAAACCTGTAGCAGACTTGTAGCAATGCTGTTCCAACAACTTGTCAACACGATGTGTTCGCACTGCTTGTTCCCAGCTTGTTGACAAGTTGTGAACGGCTTGTTGGCAACTTGCTACAAGGTTGTTGAGCTCAATAGACTTGTTACAAGTTGTTCCAACAATCCAACAACTTGTTATCGTCCTGCAATTCAACAATTTGTCAACAAGTTGTGAGTGATAACCTTGTAGCAACTTGATAAAATAACAGCATTGTTACAACTTGTTGACAAGCTTTCTACAAGCCTGTTGCGAACACACAAGTTGTCAGTTTTTACGTGTGTACAAGGCCCATTTCTTAAACATTTCTAGGGAGCCAATAGCCAGAACGTGGAACGATATGACCTATTAAACAGCCCTCGACATATTCTCATGAAATCCCACCAATCCTTGTTTTGCTATCTCGTTTTGTCAGTACACTAGATTTTTTCTTAGTATATAAAGACATTTCTTACCTCTAAAATACATGCCGCCATTCCTTCACTGACGGAAGTATTTACCACAGCTGTGATACAATGTTTAATTCCAGCGTGAAGAGCTGGCTGGGATAGCGCTGGCATAACAATAACGCCTGGGTATCTGAAAAGAAAATATCTTTCTTTACTGTATACTACGTAAATCACTCCTCAGAAGTGATAATTTATCATAATTTTATGTCCTTCGTATCTTTATATATCGTTTTTAAATTTTATTAAACAATCTATCTATCTATCTTACTTAACAATCCAACTTACTTCTTAGCTGTTTCCTTTACCATCTTCGAAAACTCAAGATCTATCTGAAACAATATATATGCTTCGCTATTTTTCTCGACCAAACCAATTCTATTTTTTAGTAACAATTCTTCCATATCATACCTCGGGTCCAACCACCACCAAAAACACCCTCGAATCTTGTTTGTGCCAATCTGAAATGAACAAGATTAAGGGACGTTTTACTCTTCCTACAGGAAATGAAGGGACGTTTTACTCTTCCTATAGGAAATAACGCAAAATTTTGATGCGTAACCATGCATAATTACCAGAAAAGATTTTGAAAAGAAACATAGGGTCTTTAACTGGTCTTAATCCAGCAACTAGGAGAAAAATAATCTAAAAAGACATGAAAGAAAAGATAAATGACATAAACCGATAATTATTTTATTAATTGGAAACGGAGTTCTGGCATTTGAAATGGCAGTTTTGGCATTTGAAAACGAAGCTCTGGTGGCTTAAAAGACAGAATGGAATTCTGCATGGCAGAAAAAAACACGGAGTTCTGACTTCTGACATTTGAAAAGGTAGTTTTGGCATTTGAAAACGGAGTTCTGGCATATGAAAACGCGGAGTTCTGGCATTTCAAAACGCGGAGTTCTGGCATTTGAAAACGGAGTTCTAGTGGCATTTGAAAACGGAATTCTGGCATTTGAAAACGAAGTTCTGGTTTTTGACGACGGAGCTCTGGTTTTTGAAAACGGAGTTTTGGCATTTGAAATTATTAACGGAAATATAGCGAACTAAAAGATTTACTGACTTAGCAAAATAACTGACAATAAAATATCTTTAGTTACCAGTGCACCACGAAGAATGTTCTTCAAATGAAGTGATTCATTGGCTGTTGCACATTCTAAAAAGTTCAGAACCACAGATTTGATACTGAAAACCGTTTCTAGGTTAACATGATTGGAATTGGAAATGAAATTATTGAAGCGCAAAAGAAAAATGCTTTTGCTTCGCAAGAACATTAAACAATGTAGACAAGGTACCTTTCATTTTGCAAATCATATCGATTTCTGTAAAATTTTCAGATGGACAAGTGAATACAGCTGAAAATACATATTATGTCATTGATTGAGCACGGTCCATCAATAAAATGCTGCATTTTGCAGATGGAGCGTCTTGCCATATAATAAATCTTGGAATTGTAGCACTTTATATGATTTTCCCATTGATCAATGTCCAATGATGATGCTAAGATATATACATTGTATGGTGTACCTTGGGGCTGAACAATCAATTTGGGCTTGACATTTGGCTATAAAAGAGTTAAGAAAAAGACAGTATCAACCTAATAACCTATCAATACTATTCCAAAATACAGTATTTTTTACACTGTTGCAAACTTTTTAGGCTACCAAAACGTAAAATTGAGCGAAATTAAATCGCGTGCGCAAATGTATAAAGACGGATTACGTCATTACGCAACTTTAGATACAAGGACAAGGTATAAGTCCACCCACCCAAATTTCTTCAGCTTTAGATGCCATCGTTTGAGAGAATGCAACAAGATTCCTGAGAAAAAACAATTTTTTTTATTTGACCTCTGTGCCTTTGGCTTTGTCAAATGTGAAATCTCTCAATTAATTTGCTTAAAACAGGTACATCCGACAAGCCCCGGATACGTACTTTGCTTTTTCAACGACTTGTGTCATGACATGAAGTTTCTTGCTGTCTTGAACATGCTCATTTAGGTCAGTGCCACCAAATATCATGGAAAATGGTACTGGACAGTCTATTGCAATAGAAAACGCATAGTTTTTTTTATATTGATTGAATATTGATCATAAAATATTAATTGAAAATATAATTGATTGGCCTGATCATATAATTCGTTATTGGGTGAATGATTATTTGGCTGCTCAATTGGTTAATTCGTTGATTAATTGATACCTAGTAGATAAAAACCATTTATTGATTAATTGATTCATTTACTAACTGGCTGATTGAATCATTAGCATATTGATTTATTGGCTCATTAGTTGATTGAATTATTGATTAATATGATTTTATAATTGACTGATGAATGATTTATTGATAAAATAATTCAATTAATTGATTGGATACTTGATAGACTGAGTAATTTATTGAGTGATTGGACAAGTGATTGATTGATGATGACTTAGATAATTGATTGGTTATTAATTATAAATCTAAAAAAATTGATTTATTGATTAAATAAATCAAATCAATTATTGACCATGACATCTAGCCAACCTTATCAACTTATGAACCATTCTGTTATTTGGTCAATATAGTTAATTGTGTTACTCATTAAATTATTGATTGTATTTTTATTGAAAAAATTCCACACCTAGAAGAAATTTCCCTGCTCGCCAAAGGTGAATCCCGATGACACAACAAAATTCATTTTCAACAATATAGTGTCTAAAACCTTCACTGGTTTCAAAAAATTCACTGTTTTGTAATTCACATGTGTGTCCAGTCTCTGCCAAATGACCTCTAGATAAATTAAAATGATGTAAAAATTGCCTTGTGGTTTGTTTTACAATAAAAACAACTAGGATTAGATTTCTGCAATATGTAATTGTCCGATAATAATTTGGCCTCAGTTGATAAGGGTGTCCTACGGTTTGACTTTACCAAACACCACACATTTTTTCCAGGTACCCTGGCAACCTCGTTCCCAGGGTCTCTCCAGAAAGATCCTGGGTACGAGGTTGGTACCCTGGTTTCCTCAGATCTAATAGCAACACTGGACCATACTGTATGCTGGATTTCTAGGAAGAACAGTTCAGAACTGATAAAGCCATCCAGTATAAAGCTAGTTTAGTTTAGGTTTTCTCCTGCCTGTTGTAACACTGGATCAATAAGGGATCACACTTACTGGTCTACTGGACATCTAACGGTTTAGAACTGATAGAGCTATTTAATATACATGAAAGTCAGTTTAGTTTAGTGAAAGTGTGAAACGATTTATTTATATTTAATATTGAGTATTACTTGATTCTTTGAGCTGTTGTTAGGTTGCCACTTTGAGGTGTCAGTCTGGCCAGTAACAATATCTTTACCATAGCCATGTACTCTAATAATTGCATTTGTTTCCATCCATTAATGTTTTACATCGCAATCTCGATTGACTCCTATTAAACTGTGATTCACTATACCATGAAATTGAAACATGATATCACACTTTCGGACTTTCAGACATAAACAAAAACACAAAATAGTATTTACAAAACGTAAAACTTTGATTACTATAGTACAAAACCTAATACTACTTGTTTATCATATACATTGTTCTTTTTTATTTTTTATTTTAAAATTTTAAGAACATTCCTTTTATTTTTTTTTTTATTTTCCTTTTAAATAAGCTACACCAGCGGCCTTTCATAACACGACGCTTTGTACTTCAAGTAGTATATGTATATAAAGATTCCAATATGGCGGACGAAGGTTTGTAATTTTTCTGCTTTTTTGTGTATTTTTTCTTTGTAAAAATGTTTTGAAACTATATCTCTCGTTAGAAACAATATTGTAGCGGTGGGGCGGTCGTACGATATTGAATTATTCATTTTACGATAACGATTCTTTTATATTATTTCATATATTGAGCATTTAAGACATTTAATATTTTCATTGAAAATATTATTATTATTTAATAATAAATGATATATTAACTGCATAAACTAAGCAGTTTAAACAAGAATTTCCATAGTTAGTTACAAATTCATCATTTTCAATTTATCATTTTGGTAGATTAAAACAAAGGAAATGGAATTAATTAATGATAAACATAAGATCGCAACGAAACGATTTACGAATATTTTGCTTCTCGGCTGAAAAGATAAACGACTCCCAAAACTATTTTAATAGGGCAATCAGACCCAAACCTGAACTAAAAGTTAGAGAAATTACTTGTTGCCTACAAGACTACATTCACACTACACCAGAGCGAAACAAAACCTGCAGAATTTACGTATGTTCACACTACCGTCTACGCCATTACAGTTTGTTTACAAATTAAATTAGCACTCATGTAAACCCAAAATATTTCAAATAGAGCAGAGAAATTTAAACGAAAAGCATTCGAATTTACCGTTTTGAGACCTGAGATGCTTGGTTTGCAAGTGGTACAAAAAAGTAACGGCGTTTGTGTTCACACGAAGCCGCCAAGCGTTTCTTTTTCATCTCGCTCCGTTTAGAAACCGTGCTCAAATTGTTACGGCAAAAGTGACGTTTTCCAAACAATTTCGCTCAGGTGTTGAGCGCGACGGCTATTAATCGTGACTTTTTTGCGCCGTTTTCAAAACCGCTCCAATGTAGTGAATGCGGTGGCTAATTGAATGCGACTTTTCCGCGCCGTTTTCAAAACCGCTCCGGTGTTGTGTGAACGTAGTCTTAATTCAAATACGTTGATCCTTTGAAACGTGAAACTAATGCTCCAAAACTTCGAACTCTATAACGCCTGTATTCTAAAAGCTCACTCACACTCAAAGAGTGGAGGTTCAATCTGAGCTTCCATTGAGTGTCAATGCTGTTTTTGAACAACTGGAGGGTGAGTAGTCACATAGTAAGGTACGACACTAACCCTCCAGCTATTCAAAAACAGCATTGACACTCGAGAGAAGCTCAGATTGAACCTCCACTCATTGAGTGTGAGTGAGCTTTTAGAATACGGGCGTAAGGCTGAGCGCAAAAGTACACGTCACTGGGCTTGTATATGTAATCATGTATGATAAAAGAGACTTAAATGCGTCTGTTGAGCTCTTCGTGCGTAGACGGTGGAGGTTTTGTGGTTGAGGACAGTTTTGTGGATGAATTACACCCTCCCCACTTGCCTTTTTCAAGATGTTTTGGCCAACTTTAAGAAATTAATGGAAGACTATCCTGACACACCGCAGGCAGTGGCTGCAATCAGTACTTTGATTGACTACATTAACCAATTACATTCAGGTAAAAACCTATATACATTATGTGAAATATATTGTTAAGGTAGAAAAAACAGTCGCCATCTTGTTGAAAGTGGTTTTAATTTCTTTTTAACTTATCGCCGTCTTTGTTTCCGTAGTCGGTAGTCAACGGTGTCTTTGTATCGAAAAGTGTAATGTTTCGCGACTAACCTGAGGGAGGGCGTTCTCGCAAAACGTCGACGTTTTAATTTTTTTAGACAGCTATTTCAGACACAAACCATGGCAGCTTTTTCGGATAGTTCGGACACAAACCACGATTGCTTATTGTAGAATACTAGCTACTTACACCAGACGTTCAGGCCACCACGTTTGAGATATCCGTTTAGGTAGTCCAGACACAAACCACGGCAGCTTATTGTCGAATACTATACCTAAGATAGCACATTAGATCTCTACGTTTCAGATTTCGTTAACTACATTCAGGAGAATATATATCTTTATTTTTGTCGTTCCAAATCTCCGTTTAGCTGAGACGCTATCAGAGCTCCGAGAAAAATTGACAAGTGCCATTGATAAGTTGACCAGCATTGAAAGTTCAGTTGCATCTGTCGCCTCGGGTTGTGAATTGTTTCTGCGCTTTATAACCCTCACCTCATTAGATCATCCGGTAAGTTTGTGGAGAATGATTTGTGCTAAAGATGTATATAATACATCTATCTGAACGAATTTGGGAAACGTTGCAAAGAGCTACCCATTATCTACGCACCCTAGTATAAAAGCAAATAATTTTCAATTTTTCCCGAATTTAAGGATTTTCAAGAGTGTAAAAGAGTTCTGGTTGAAAGAGGTATTTCGAGTATTGAATCTTAAAATAGGTTTTAGACCAGACGAAGGTATTTTATAACTCTGGTAATTTTGTTTCTGTGATAGGAAAACTTTTTCTTGAAAAGGCCTCTTCATCACGAAATAAAATCACGAAACTTTGTAATCACTTTATCAGAGATGGAGCTGTAAGTTCATGAATAAATTTTGTATTACTATTACAATAGTTTTAAACCAATGCCTATTGTTTTGTAACAATGGGTATTGTATACTAACAATGCCTATTGTTTTCTAACAATACTCAATTATTTTCCAACAATAAGAAATTTTCTTTGTATAGTAACAATGTTTATTCTTTTCTAACAATACTCGATTATTTTCCAACAATAAGAAAATTTCTTTTTTTCTCTCACCAGACAATTTTAACACATTCAAGATCAAGAGTTGTCCTAAAACTATTAAAGGCAGCAGCCAATGAGAAAAGAAGATTTAATGTGTTTGTCACAGAGTCGGCACCTGATAGGTCAGGGTAGGTGGAAAGCCTACCACATTTTACTACCCAAAAATTCACTGCGAAAAATTCTCATACGTTCATTGTGTTTTTCTATATATAGTCACAAAATGCACGAGCAACTAAAAGAAGCTGGAATTCCTTCTACAGTTATCTTAGACAACGCAGTCGGGTAACCTTGAATAATGTTTAAGGGAGCAGTCATTATTTGTGGCGGGGGGCGAAGAGAAAAGGGTTGTGTAAACAAAATTTGAGTGAGTGAAATGAAAAACAAAACAACTCCAGGGTTTGGTTTTAAAAAATATTAATTGTCATCTCCAAAGCATGACTCACTCAAATATTGAAGACTAAAAAGCAATGTCAACAGTCATATGTCAATACAATATGTGAATCAATCAGAGTCACTATCTTGATCATTTTCCGATTTGTCAGGAGGCAAATGACGTCTCCGAAGAAAGTACATGTGCAAACAACATGAAACTTTAGACGCAGAAAATTGCACAAGTAGTTATCAAACTCATGTCACAGAAGTGGTAAAGGACATGTGTGACAACTGAACGGTATCCTTTTGTAAAGTTTTTGGCCAGGGGTGCCAGGATGGGTATTTATTTTTTTATTGATATTTGATGTTGGGTACAAACATTTTCAATGGTTGGATCGGCAAAATTTTTACAGAGAAAAATATTTCTCTTTGGTGCCACTTCCCGCTATAAATAATGACCGATCCTTTGGCCAATTTGATTCTCTGCTATAAACCTACTAATTTATCACTTAAATCTTTTTATCTCCCAGATATATCATGGAAAAAGTTGACTTTGTGTTGGTCGGTGCTGAAGGTGTTGTCGAGAGTGGTGGAATTATTAACAAAGTACAGAACACCCCTTCATTAAGGCTATATTACACGTGGGACATGCTCAGAATTTCCCTGCCAGACCTTTTTAGATAACATCGCTCTATGTCAGAAATTGCGTTGCAAGTTGCAGCAAGAATACATGGCTTTTATTCAGAACTTCAACAGTTGTTGCTGCACTTCACCCATAATTTAAACATGTACCAATAATACATATATAGTTTTTAAATAAACTTTTTATATATACTTGTATAGATTGGTACATACCAAATTGCAATCGTCGCTAAAGCAGCCAACAAGCCATTTCATGTCGTTGCTGAAAGTTATAAATTTGTTCGTCTTTACCCATTAAATCAACACGATGTCCCTAATAAATGGACGGTTAGTGTTGGTAATGACGATGATGGTGGTGTGATGGTGTAGATGGTGTTTGTTATAATGGTGATGGTGTTGATGACGATGGTGGTGGTGGCGATGATGGTGTTTGTGATGATGGTGGTGGTGGTGGTGATGGTGGTGGTGATGATGGTGGTGGTGATGGTGATGATGATGATGGTGGTGGTGATGATGGTGGTGGTGATGATGATGATGATGATGGTGTTGATGATGGTGATGATGATGGTGGTAATGGTGGTGATCGACCAGATTGATGATGGTGGTGGTGGTAATGATGATGATGGTGGTGATGATGGTGTTGATGATGATGATGATGGTGATGATGATGGTGGTAATGATGATGGACCAGATTGATGATGGTGGTGGTGATAATGATGATGGTGTGATGGTGATAATGATGGTGGTGATGATGGTGGTGGTGGTGGTGGTGGTGATGATGATGATGGTGTTAATGATGGTGATGATGATGGTGGTAATGGTGGTGATCGACCAGATTGATGATGGTGGTGGTGGTGGTGATGATGGTGATGATGGTGGTAATGATGATGATGGATCAGATTGATGATGGTGGTGGTGATAATGATGATGGTGTGATGGTGATAATGATGGTGTTGGTGATGATGAATTGATGATGTTGGTATTTATTACAAATATAACTTACAATGCCATTCCTTTCTTTCTGATCCTAGTATTCTTACACTGATGCCCCTAAATACGAAGATCATCCGTTGGTGGACTACACTCCTCCATCCTACATCAACTTATTGTTCACAGACTTAGGAGTGTTAACTCCGTCAGCAGTCAGCGATGAACTGATTAAACTTTATTGCTAGATTACATTTATTGCTAATAAAATATTAGAAAAAGAATTTAATTATTGTTCTTTTAGTGAATGTTGTCAAAATGCATGAAATCTATTTCTTCAGAGAGATGATGGTGTTCGAGTATATCCGAGGAAGCTGGCGGTCAAAATATTCCAATAAGGTCATAATATTTATACTAGCGAAAAGAACGACTCGTAGAAACAGTCAATTTGTTCGCAAACCCAGGGGTTGAACGTTGGGCCTAAATAAATTATTGTAAATTGACTTTTTATACGAGTTGTTGCTACTTATTTAATTATGCACCTATCAATGTCTTCCGCCAACGGGGGGAGTGCGGGCATACCCAGGGGCAATTGACATTTTCGAGAATTGTTTGTCAACTGATATTCCTCTCTCAAGGGCAGTATGGAACTGTCAATTAATGTTGAACGCCCCTGGGTCATGAAGAGATTGAAAGACCAACACTTATACATTATAAACTTGACACAAATTTTATCGACAACAGTTGATATTTGTGGGAAATAAAACCGTGGTTCTGCAAGGAATCGGAGCAAATAGATCAAATATATAAATACACTTGATATCAGATTGGTATGGACAGACAAAACACAAACATTTTGAATTTAGGTTTGAACGCACGTTTGAACGAACGCAGTACGTACACTGCCATTTTGCATTTTTACACGAGGTTTTAAAAATTAAAAAATGTCAAAAATCCCCACCCTCGGGAGGGTTCCCTGTGTAAAAGAATTAAATGCTCCGCCTCACGGGCATTAATTTGTTGTCAATTGCCCGTGGTCGTGTATGCCCGCACTCCCCCCGTTGGGGGAAGAAAGACAATAGGGAGTTTAAGCTTCAGGTTCGAACTTTCTTGGCAAAATTTTCGCTGAACGTTTTCGTTTCATAAACTATGGCTGAGTGTGCCTCCATTTAAAGTACGACTAAACCCAAATATAATTTTTGTTTTTTGTAATATTTGGGTCATTCTAAGAAGAAATGTAGTGTATCTTTATAGTGAAAAACCTCATCTTGATCAACTTTTTCACTGTCAAAGTTTCCGGATATGATGTCATTAGGTGAATTTTTTGTACAAAAAACAAAGGAGAACTATTTCGCAATTCACCTAATGACATTATATTCGGAAACTTTGACAGTGAAAAAGTTGATCAAGATGGCATTTTTTATTGTAAAGATGCATGTATTACATTTCTTCAGTTCTTCTTCGAATGACCTAAATTATACTGTGATCATACCATAGATAATCATACGCATACCAAAAATCATATTTGTGTTTAGTCACACGCTAAATGTTTGTATAATAGGATTCAGACTAGGCTTGGATTTTGAATTGTCTAAAATGATTCAGGGCCGTAGCAACCGGGGGGGGGGGGG